GCGGGGGGGCGGGGGGGGCAGGTGGCGGGGGAGGAGCGTCTGGCTGTGCCCGGCGTGTGCGGGGAGCGCGGGGCAGTTGGCTGATGCGGAGAGAAGTTGGGGCGGGACCCAGGGGGGAACGGGCGAGATGAGCTCAGGCCCGGGGTCACTGAGGACTGGAGCCTGCGCGCTAGGTGAGCTGGGAGGCCATGGCACCCCAGGCACAGCCGTGGAGGTGCTAAGAAGTAGCTGAGCTGTGGGTGTGAGTTCAAGCTTGTGCCAGTGGGGTCGGCTGGCGGGCTGGAGGTGGGTGGGAGGGAAGGGAGGAGTCCGGCCGCACTCCTGAGCCGCTGGGGAGCAGGAGCCTTTCCCGCGACGAAGGGTCAGCATCCGTGGTTATCGCCGCTTCAGAAACCAAGCCGCGGGTCTGGGAACGTGCACGTATGCAGACTCGTGTCTTGATTTGACTTGTCGGGTTCTTTTCTTACAGCTCACTACCCAGTAGATTCTAACTGTTGTCAGAGAGATTGATCTCCTTGTGAGGCGTGTTAGCAGTGATGTTAAGGCTCTGGGATCAGACGGTGCAGTTTGAATCTCAGCCCCACTGGCGACTAGCAGTGGGACCCGGCGAGGCTGCCAACCCCACGTGTGAAAGGAGACCCTGCTGGCCAGCCTGCCGGCGGGTTGGAGGCCAGAAACCTGGCCACAGCACCTCACTGCTGACCCTGCCACCCAGGGAGCTGTTGGCTCCGTCCCACCAGAGCTCCTCTCCCCACCACACACGGGTTTTTTCCTGCACCGGATTCTCAGGGAGAGAGTGTTGGTGGATGTTGTGATGAGGCAAACCGTAGATATTTTTACTTCTAAACCAAGTGCAGCGAGATCGGATCTAAGTTGCCCTTTCGGTGGGCACATAGGTAAAATGATTTTAGCACCCAGGTCTCTACCAAACCCATGTCATTAACTGTGCTCGGTGTTCTCTTCTCTCAAGGTGCGCATAATGTTTGAAGTGCAGGACCTGAAGTACGCCACCCTGGCCACGGTGTCGCGCTGCGGCATGGTCTGGTTCAGCGAGGACGTGCTCAGCACGGACATGATCTTCAACAACTTTCTGGCCAGGCTGCGCAGCATCCCCCTGGACGAGGGCGAGGACGAGGCCCAGCGCCGGCGCAAGGGCAAGGAGGACGAGGGCGAGGAGGCCGCCTCCCCGATGCTGCAGGTACACGGCCAGCACCGCTCTGCCAAGTGCAGCCAGCTGGCATCTGAGGGTGCTGGGCCGCCGCGCAGAGCGAGGCCGGGTGTCCCATCCCGAGCATCTGGAAGGCGAGGTGCTTTCCACGACGGTCCCTGCTCCTCTGCTGAAGCCAGCCACTCGCTGGAGGTTTGCATAATCAGTGCAGTCACAGCTGCAAAAGCGTGGCCGTGCACGGAAAATTTAAAGAATTCTTTCAGTTTTCTCTGCAAATTGATGAAAGGTGGACCTTTTGCATTTCGATGGTGAAGACCAATGTTCCTAGGAAGCGTGATTTTTTTCTTTTTGAGAACCACCAAGATGAGGGAATAAAGGGTTGGTCGTTGAAGCTTCATTCCTCATTTTTTCAACCCATAAAACTATTTTTTACAGTTGCGCGACCCTCTCCTGGGCCTAGGTTAGAGGAGATGAAAACCTCCCCGCTTTTTGAGATGGTAGCTAAGCGTCATTCCCTCCCTCCTGTAGATCCAGAGGGACGCAGCAACGATCATGCAGCCATACTTCACGTCCAACGGCCTGGTCACCAAGGCCCTGGAGCACGCCTTCAAGCTGGAGCACATCATGGACCTGACACGCCTGCGCTGCCTGGGCTCGCTCTTCTCCATGCTGCACCAGGCCTGCCGCAACGTGGCCCAGTACAACGCCAACCACCCCGACTTCCCCATGCAGGTCGAGCAGCTGGAGCGCTATATCCAGGTCAGAAGGGGTCCCGCTGTGGCCAGGTGCTGGGGGAGCTGCCGGCAGCATCTCTGGGCACCACTGCTTCAGGGTCACATCGTTGTAAATGTCTTTCCTTTATTGTTGAAATTCCACTCAAAACGGGACCCACTTCCTATTCCAATAGCGGTATCTGGTTTACGCCATCCTTTGGTCCTTGTCTGGAGACAGTCGGCTGAAAATGAGAGCAGAGCTGGGTGAATACATCAGAAGGATCACGACGGTGCCACTGCCCGCTGCTCCCAACATCCCCATCATCGACTACGAAGTGAGTGCACGCCTCGACTGGACGTCGTCTTTTCTTTCGTAGGAGAGTTTTGTCCTTTTAGTTTTCTGTGGCACAAGGGATGCAGGTTGACTCGGAGGTTCTGACTTGCACGAAAGTGAGCAAGTCTTGTAGGTGAGCAGGTACATGGGTCCCAGGGTGACTGGTGCCCGCCCGTGTGTGCAGGTGTCCATCAGCGGAGAATGGTCGCCGTGGCAGGCCAAGGTGCCTCAGATTGAAGTGGAGACGCACAAGGTGGCCGCCCCTGACGTCGTCGTGCCAACGCTGGACACCGTCCGCCACGAGGCCCTCTTGTACACCTGGCTGGCCGAGCACAAGCCACTGGTCTTGTGCGGCCCTCCTGGGTCTGGCAAGACCATGACGCTCTTTCGCCCCCT